AGGGGAAGGGGGTTGCAACAACGATGACACGATTAGGATTATTCCCCGGTTCTTTTTCAGTATCAGTTACGTCCCGGCGCAACGGAACGGTGCTTCCCCTAATTCCTTAATGTCATTGAAAGGATCGGTTTAAAATGTAAACAAGGGCCATGATAGGGTCCGGCCCGGGGAGGGCCTATCGAGGGCCCGGCCAGGAGTGGTCGGCTGGTGGTTGACGGATGAAAGGGCCCGTGGCCCCACCGCCCTGGTACCTGAATGGTTTTTTTTTTTTTCTTTTTTCTTTTCGCGGCGCGTCTCCCATCTGCCGTCGCGGCCAGGGCGGCCATCCCTTCAGCCCCTTTAGCCATTATCTGCGGCCCTTTGTTGGCCCCCACGCCCGCGGCCGGGGTTGTTGATGTAAGGAAGCTTTCACTTGCAGCAACCCCCGATGGATCCTGGAATTGAAGCAACGAGCGCGAGATAAAGCTCGGGAAGAATCGGGAGCGGTTTCGATGAGGTCGAGAATTACTTGTTTTTGATTGGTTTCGAGGAGAGAGGGCGTTTTTTACCCGTGCATTCACAGACAATATCGATGTGCGGAACCATATAAAGGGACTTTTCCGACCTAACAGCATACCGTCGCACAATGAGTCGAGTCAATAGGAGAGGTCGGACAAAATTTGGTAACTTTAAACGCTTATAACTTTTTTTAAACAAAACTTTGAGGTTCTAAAAGTGGATCTTTTCGTTTTTCGTAAAATTTTCTTTCGTAAAAATGGATTTTTTGCCCTTGTTTTGTTTTTTGTTTTTCTGGTTTTTTTTTGCATTTTTTAAAAAAAGAGGCAGATCTTTAGAAAGTCTCTTAAACTCTCTTTTAACTTAAATATCAGTCGTGCTTTATTTTGCTCCAAGATATACCCAATAGGAGTTTCCCGAAACATTGACTGTAACAGACTTTTTAGAAATAACTTTTTAAAAATTTCGAGCAACTTCAATATATTTTCAACAGAAACGACTGTGGTAAATCTCCCCCGTGAAATTTTGACCGGGCATCAAACCTCTAATCCATTCAAGGGTGAAAAGAACCAACGACTCTCACGAAAGCGCTCATTCGACGCACTCAGCCCCCGCGAGGACAAAAAAGCCTCAACCACAAGCCCCTTCCCATCACGTCCGCATAAAAACAAACACAAATAATAATTTGTCAACAGAGGTTTCGACAACAAAAACAAGCCTCGGGGGGAGTTAATTGAAGAGGTTATGTTTGAATGGAACCGGCTCGCGCGGCGGAGCGACCAATGAGCGTCGAGGGTCACGCTCGCGCCTTCTTCAACTTTCTTCCGGGTTGGTAGGCGGGGGGAGGGGCGGGGACAGATTGCCCCCCACCGCGCGCCTCCTTTAATCCCATTCAATCTGGAAATAAATACCTCTCGAAATACAGGCTCATGTGGACTCTATTAATCATCCACGCGGTGAAAACGCATTGTGCCGGCAGCGCGCCCTGGCGGTGAGAGCGCTCTCCAGGAAATCGAGCTGCTTTAATTAAGTATTTCACTCACGACTCACGTGCAGGCCTCCACAGCGATTTTGGCCGCAACGAGTTCTCAAGTCAACCACTAGACGCCTTTGTTACGATTCGGCGCTACGCCGCACTTCATCATTCCTCATTATTTCCTGCAATTTTATTTAATTCTCTCTCTCTCTCTTTCCCCCTCCCCCCTCTTTCTCTCTTGCTCTTTCTCTCTCTCTCTCTCTCTTGCTTGCATATTTATGGGGTCTCGTGCGTAATATGGACGTGTTTACGCTAAAAGGAAGTATGTTACACGCAAACCCTATGCACATAGTTCCTTTTACCATAAAAACAGGTTCTGAGGTAACCGTTCGTGCGGGGCGTTGAACGGACTTTCATGGAGTGTATGATGGATGGTTGTTCGGTTTCCGCATTTCGATCTGCCACGCGATTTCAAGCATCGATGTAATTTGTTTGCACACTTGGTTAAGGTCTTTTGTTTATGACTATTTCACAGGTCAACGAGTCTAATATGAACACTGCACCCTAAAAGCACTGACTCTTTGGTTTGGACTTTGAAAAAACGTCGAGGAATTGTAAAATGTGCAAGTTGGAAAACATTGTTGGGTTTAAATCACACGTTATTTCCCTTTCAAGGTGCTTTTAAGAGACCGGAACAATTTTAAAGAGAATTTTTTTAAAAGTTTTTATGCGATTCTTGTTTTAGCAATGAATAACGAACCATCAATGTTGTGTGATATTCTCAGGGAATATTCTTGAAGTCTTCAAGGAATGGTGTCGAGATCAGTGCTCATCCATTCAGAAAATGAATTATGACAGGAGCTCTTCAGCGTCGCAAACTCAGATGATAGTTTTTGTACAATGTTGTAAAAAATTGAATTGTTCGAGTCAATTTTATAATCTTGAAATAACGTTACGTTCCTTCGTCCGGAAAATGACGGTTCATGGAAATTTTCCAAATTCACCGTCAATATGAAACTCCCAACGCAATCAATGGTGCTTTTGTGCCGGAATGTTGTGCATGTTGTCTATTCACCGATTGAAGGAACATGCCTCATTGAAATTAGTTGCAATTTTTTTTTTGCATTGCGAATTGCTTACCTTACTGCCACTCGAAACTCATTTTATTAATCGTGAATCAGCATTTGCTGCGCAAAAAAATGTTAAACTATTGCAATTTTTCCCCCAAAATTTTCGGACAATTCTTTACGCAATTTAATCTCAAATCCCTGAAAATATCAAGGACGAAAATTAATGAATATCGTCAAAAATACGTGTTTTATCAGGTGAAATTTGGGAACTCTCGAATGTTCATACAGCGTTCTTCCTTTGCACGGCAGAAATTAGAAATTAGAATAAAATTAAGACCTCTCCATATCCCTTGTGTCGTCTTTGTCTACAGCTTTGTCTATCAATTTCAATAATCGGCCCGCAGATGTAGATCTGTCATGCTGAGCAAAGACGCCGTAAATCCATCAAGACTTTCCCTCTTTTTGGGGGACTTACCACTTTGTACCGTAGAAACTATTTTACCCATGCACCTCAAATTTTCAAGTTAAGTTCTTGATAGTATCTGCGAAAGAATTCTGTAAAAAATATTTTCCCAGGGTACACAAGTTTTTCTGCTACACAGGAAAAAAAAAAACACATTGGATCTAGAGTCCAGTAACTTAAAAACATCGACAAGAAAAAATACTCTTGATTCAATCAGATTTAAGCTTAAATAAAGCGGATTTCCTTTTGATTTAACCTTAAATCTGATTGAATCAAGAGTCCTTTTTCTTGTCAATGTTTTCAAGAGTCAGGACTCTAGATCCAATGTGTTTTTTTTTTTTCTAGTGTACCACTTTGTAACATAAAAACTGTTTTACCCATGCACCTCAAATTTTCAAGTTAAGTACTTGATAGTATTTGCGAAAGGTTTCTGTAAAAATATTGTCCCAAGGTACACAAGTTTTTCTGCCATGATACGTTTGTTTCCAAAAAATGTAGAACGGCGCTTACGGCGTTTTCGCGTTGCATGGCAGAGTACTGCCTTGCTAAGGAAGAACGCCGTATGAACATTCGAGCATTGCCAAATTTCCCTTGATAAAGCATGTAATTTGGACAAAATTCATGCATATTTTTCCTTGAAATTTGCAGACATTTTAGATTAAATTGCGCACAAAATTGTCTGAACACTTATAAAATAATATTCGCAATCTTCCCAGTAAATTCAGTTTTTATCAGAGTAAACTTGGCAACGTCTGAAGGCTCATACGGCGTTTATCCTTAGCACGACAGAGTGCACGGCTAGACCGTCACCGGCCCGACCGTCAACCCGGCAACAGCCCCGGTTGGCGGAAACAAGAAGCTATGCAGCGGGGCAGCCGAGGATGAAAGCGGGGGCAAACAGCATAGCTAAACAGCCCTTCAAAGGCTTCCCCCGCGGAGCCCGGCAGGGACCCGCCGACAGCACGCACCGCGACGCGAATTAACGCCGCTCGCTAAGACGTGACGCGATGCGACGCAATGACGTCACGCGGATTACATCACGTCCGAGCTCCGTTCACCTTGCGCTTGAAACATCCCCCTGCCCCCGCCGCGCACCCACGGCGTCGTGGGTCACTGCGTCCACGTTTGAGCCCTTGAGCTTTTCCGCGGGCTCGCATGTCTCTGACCTTTCGGCCCGTCGTCCGCCGCCGCTGGCACAGATTCTCCCGGGAAAGTCACTGTCTCTTGTCTTGACCTTATACGCTGTGATACGACGTGACGTCATGCGCCTACGTTTTGAGACGGTTTCTGACGTCACCGTTTTAGAATTTCTCGCAAATTGGAACTGGCAATTTTGGAAAGTCACTGTCTCTTGTCTTGACCTTATACGCTCTGATACCACGTGACGTCATGCGCCTACGTTTTGAAACGGTTTCTGACGTCACCGTTTTAGTACCTCTCACAAATTGGAACTGGCAATTTTAAAAAGTCACTGTCTCTTGTCTTGGCTTTATACGCTTTGATACAACGTGACGTCATACATCTACGCTTTGATACAACGTGACGCATAAATGGACCGAGTTTATCAGAGAGGTCCAAATGCTCGAAAAAAATTGAGTTAAAATTTTTTTTGAGGTCCATTAGTTGTATATTTTCTCCTGCCAAAAACCAGAAATCGAAAACCAGAAATCGGTTTATGAAAAGAAGGGTTAAAGTTTATTTTCTACATTGAACCTTAAGGAGGAATAAAACTTAAAACCTCTTTCCCTCAGTTTCAACTTAATGAGGGTTGGTTGCTTGCTAATAACCTCGATCCTAATGTTGTTTCGAGGCTTAATCTTTCGGATTGTTTGCGAGCTATTACTAAAATTAGGAGACAACATATTTCAGAGATCCTGATCTAAGAATCTAACAATGTAGTGCGATAAGGGAAAAGTTACAATGTCCACATTTTCCATACAAGTTTTACGTTGGTGTTGAGATAGTAAAAGAAGGAATATTGTAAAAGAGTACTTACGCTAGGAATGTTGTCGTTGGTGCAGACGCCTTCAGAAAGCAGCCGGTCGCGGATTTCCCAGGCGAAAATAGAGGGACATTCCCTTTTGTACTCGGCGATTTTGGAAACTACGCCGTTCGTTGCAACCCTAGGTTTTGAGCCGCCAATTGCACGAGGCTTTATTGACCCTGTTTCATAATACCTGCGGAAAGACCAACAAAAACCAAGTGAACTACTAATTTTACACAAGTTAAAAGGCGGTGTAGTCCCTGTCCAAAATTGGGCTGCTTTTTGCGTGTAATCGCAGGGAAAAAATCAGAATAAATCAGCCAGGGATGTAAATATTATACCTTTTTCCGTGAAACCGTCTGGCGTAGAAGTAGGGTTCTACACAAATAAAACCAAAATTTCACGTGTTGAGAGCTAGATATTCGGCTTCCTTTGGACACTTCATCTGAAAGCTTCCAAAGAGATAGATGCAGCGGGAATCTCCTATTTAGAAGCTGCAGCCCTCAGAAATTCAGGGCCAGGCCAGCACTAGACTAGTCTGAATTGAGTTACGTAAGACATTACGCCAAGCTAATCCCACTAAAACAGCACACCACAAGAGTTTCCACCGATAGAGCAGAAGCACAGCTTCAGCATTGCTGCGTCGCAAGCACAGGCTTCCACTTACCGCTATTTCTTGTTCCCTTGCCTTCCCTCTTCGAGAAGCCTCCGGCTAGAAGGTGTGAATCCAGGTGCGGGTCTCAGACCTTCCCAGGACCAAGGAGAGTAATAAATACCCTGAACGTACGTCCTTAAGCTTAATTAGTGCTGACCTTATTTGCCATCATCACTGGGCGTGAATCCATTGTGACATTGGTCATGTTATGCATGTACTCTTATGGATCTCAGGTTCTCAGGGCTCATGTCAGAATAGATATAGTACTTTTTGACTTAAAAGTCCAAATAAAACGTCGATTTAAGTCGAACCAGCTATTCTCTTGTGAAAAATGGCACAATGATGCCTCGGGTTTCTTCTGAAATAAACTACGAGCCTCACTCAATTTTTAGGTCAGGTCATGGAGTTCTTAGGGCCCAAAAGGACAGCCAACCTATACGAATTGGACGTATTTATGCTGAAAGTAACTATGTGGAAGTGGGAAGATGGGGTGTGCCTGTGGAAGCTGCATAAGAAGCAACGTAAAAGTGGATATACTTCCTTTTGAGAATATGGATCAAAATGGATGAAAATCAAAAGAAACTGAGCGCTAACTCGTGAGCCGTGGACATACGACAGAGCGATTTTGGACAGGGCTCATGAGTGCAGGAGTCCAGCCACCGATCTCCCCGTCGTTCCCGGTTCCCCGGTCTCGGTCGTTGCCGCTGACGTCACTGGCGCTTTTAAATTCCCATTCATTCTTATGGCCCTCAACTACGAGTACACCCCATCTTTCTACTTGCACATAGTTGCATAGCATGAATACGCCCAATTACCAGAGTGATTCATTATTACAATTATTTCGACCCGTCGCCTGTGAAGCACTTGTTTAACTTAGTTCATGTATACATTTACTCTTTCTTTGCAAAAGAACGCTCATTTATGAACATTCTTGGCCATTGTAGTCTGATATTGGAATCGGAAGATTGGCAGTGACATTTTTCGATCACAAAAGTTTGCTATCCTTTTGGGCTCTGAGAGGTCCGTATTTCGATATGTCCGTACTATTCTTATATGCTGCCGTGCTAAGGGAGAACACTGTATGAACATTCGAGAGTTGCCAAATTTCCTTTGATAAAATGTTCATTCTTGAGAAAAATTATGAATATTTTTCTCTTGAAATTTTCAGTAACTTTAAATCAAAGTACGAACAAAATTCTCTGACAAATTGGAAGAAAAATATTCATAAGTTTACCAGGGAATTCGTGTTTTATCATAGACGATTTGGCAACGGCTGAGGGTTAAGTGGAAAAAAACACATTGGATCTAGAGTCCAGACTCTTAAAAACAACGACAAGAAAAATACTCTTGATTCAATCTGATTTTCGCTTAAATCAAGAACCAAGCTTCTTAATTTGAGCGGATTTCCTTTTGATTTAAGCAAACATCTGATTGAATCCAGAGTATTTTTTCTTGACAAATGTTTTCAAGAGTCTGGACTCTAGATCCAATGTGTTTTTTTTTCCCCAGTGTTATTACGGCGTTTTTCTTTAGCACAGCAGTACCAAGAGCGCAAACTCCGGTGAGATGAAAGAGCTGGACAGCGCGACTTACCTTCCGAGGATTTTGGAGACACAGCCATTGGAGACCTGGAGGATGCGGGAGATGTCGCAGGGGCGGGCCCCGGAGTGGGCGAGCTCGACGATCTTCTGCCTGGTGGAGTCGGGGAGCGGCCGCCCGTTGACGTAGACGCCGCCCAGCTGGTTGATCCCGCTGTGCCCGGCCGCCGAGCACCCGAACAGCGCGCTGCTCTGCGCCATCGCCGCCGCCGCAGCGTTGCAGTGGTCCGGATCCTCTGCCAACGCAACAACACAAATCACTCATCAAAGAACAATACAAAATATAATATCAACTTTCCTTTGTCCATCGATATTTCAAAAATCAGACCATTGGTGTTACCTACTGCTAGAGGATCTTCATGGACCCGCTGGTCTTGAATCAATAATCTTGAATAACTATCGTTCATAAAGAAGAGACTTTAACGAAAAAGCAGGAAAGTAAGCATAAATCAACACCTATTCAGCGGGCTGATTATTGCTCCCTAAAAAAAGTGGATTTGGGCATCCACGTCTATGTGATTTATGCTTACTTTCCTACTCGTTCGTTAAAGTCTCCTAGATCATCCACGATCGATTTATTACACACCAATTTTTATTCACGATTGAAGTATTCAACGAAAACTTACAATTTCTTCTCCTGGTGATTTGTTGCCAAGTCGTAATCCGTGAATATTGGTCTCTACACAACTGCGCGCTAAAACGACATTTCGATTATGTGTGAGCTTATTCAAAAATTTCAAACGTGTGCGCTAATGATATGCAAGTGACCATTCGATTACCCTCGTGCTTTCCTCAATGTAAATCGTTTAACACAGTATTTTTGAAAATACGAGAGGTACATACTGCCATGCTCAGGAAGAACGCCGTATGAGCCTTCTGACGTTGCCAAGTTTCCTTCGATTAAAACCGAATGTACCGGGAAAATTGTGAATATTTTTTCCAAAATTATCGGACTATTTTTTACGCAATTTAATCTAAAATTTCCAAATATTTCAAAGGAAAATGTGCGTAAATGTCGTCAAAAATTCATGTTTTAGCAAGGAAAATTTGGCAACTCTGGAATGTTCATACGGCGTTCTTCTTAAGCACGGCAGCATAATCATAGATCGTATTACAACAGAGTATTGTAACGGCGAAAAAGTTGAAAATTCTCGAATGGAGTTACGGCGCTTTGCCCGTAGACGGCAGAAATCCACCCCGTGCTCGGCAACAGCGTAGTATCGTCGCTCCTCTGGCGTAAGAGCGTATCTCTACTTCCACATGAGCCCTAGAAAGCACGGAGTTATACGGATAACAGGGCTCATGAGGAAGCTGAGATACGCCCTTGCGCCGGAGGGACGACGGTATGTGCACTGCGGTTCGCCGCGGGTATGTACCCGTAGACGCGGCCTGGGTTTTGTAACGCTCGTGATGGGAGGGGGGGGGGCTCTCTGCAGGTCGCGTGGTTCAGAAATTAAACCGGTGTACTAATCCACTTAAAGTGCTTCGAATTTGTTGCACACGATTNGACGGGACGTGGCCGCTCGGTTAACGTGCAAATATTACCACGCCACCTAACGCGTTCGAGGGTTCCTGAAAGCCAGCCGTCCTGACGAAGTCGAACGTTTTCAAGTGATGAACCCGTACTGGGAGAGTTGAGAACTTTACTGCCGTGCTAAGGAAGAACGCCGTATGAACATGATTTACCATACTGATGGGTCATGTTACCGTGATCTGTGTTTGGTGAAGTTCTCATGATTGATGTAGTTCTTATGAAAAGCCGTAGTTGTGCCGTTTTTGTTTTACCGCACAGTATGGTCAATTCGTGGTTATGTACCTCATAATTTTTTTGCGTATACCGCGCAAAGGAAGAACGCCGTATGAGCCTTCAGACGTTGCCAAGTCTCCTCCGATAAAAACCGAATTTAATGGGAAAATTGCCAATATTATTCTTCAAAACTTTCAGACAATTTTGTACGCAATTTAATCCACAATATCTGCAAATTTTAAGGAGATATGCATGAATGTTCTCAAAAATACATGTCTTATCAAGTTAAATTTATAGCAACTCTCGAATGTTCATATGACGTTTTTCCTTAGCACGGCAGTGTAGGAGTCAGTAGTACTGCCCTTAGTTTGCGCTATTTTCCCGAACAAGTTAGGGACCGGCGCAAAGGTGTTTTTTCCTTGCATTAAACCGAGGGTCTTTTTTCTTGTCAATTTTCTTCAAAATTCTGGACTCTAGATCCAAGAGACTTATTCCCCAGTGCATGTTTCCAGATAGAGGAAGATCCAAATAAAAGCGAAGACTGGCTTCGCTCATACTCCCGAAAACGATATTTCGGAAGCGTTTTAATAACGCGTCTGTTTCCGGCCGATGAGGGCCCTTGAGAAAGGGCCGCGGCTGAAAAGGCCGAGAAAAGAGCGTCGAGGGAATCTAATTTCTCCTTTCGAGGGGGCGCTGGAAATGCGCTTTTTGAAATCACTTCTCGAGTGCCATCGAGCAAACTGTAGCAATCTCCTAGACAAAACGGATTATTCGGCCGGGGCGCGGCGCGGGGAATGTTTCAAAATATTGATCAAGATTAGAGGTAAGCCTTTTCACCCACGCACGGGGAGGGTCGCGCGGGGCGGCGCGGCGCGGGGGAAAGGGTGCGAAACTGGAGTTTATGAAGTAAAGAGGATAACGGGAGTACTTAGAAGTGTGCAGACACACTCGTTGTGGGCTTCCGACGACCCCTGGCTCCACTACTGGCGCACCGTGGACTCAAATACCGTGAAAGCCGGAGTAGCTACGCGACCTTGGATTCAGAGACGTTATCGATTTTTGAATCTGAATACCACGCATATTTCTCTAAAAACATACACTGGAAAAAAAAAAACACATTGGATCTAGAGTCCAGACTCTTAAAAACATCGACAAGAAAAAATACTCTTGATTCAATCAGAATTAAGCCTAAATCAAGAACCAAGCCTCTTAATTTGAGCGGATTTCCTTTTAATTTAAGCTTAAATCTGATTGAATCAAGAGTCTTTTTTCTTGTCAATGTTTTCAAGAGTCTGGGCTCCAGATCCAATGTGTTTTGTTCCAGTGTATGAATATAGTGCCATTGGCGGATCCAGCAAGTTGGCAACATTGTTTTCTCCATGTACGCCAATGAGAATGTATCGATCCTTCGAGGGGCCAGGTGCTACGACAAGAATCGATTGTTTAACCATGGGTTGATTGGAGGAAATCTGGGGTTGCCAAATTGCTGGATCCGCCTCTGAAGTGCTTATCTGTCCCCCCATAGCCCCCTATCCTGGGAACAACACCTTCAAAACCGAATTATCGTTGACCATATTTTATAATGTAAATACTTTTATTTCTTGTACATAGAAGGTAAATAAAAAGATATTAATTAATATATAAATAAATAATAAAAACACGCATCCTAATCGTCGTTTCCCCAAGTTTCGCTCCTGTTTTACACTTTCGGAGGGGTTTCGACTAATGTACAGCTCCGAGGATTCCTCCTGTTCATTGTACTCATTGAGAATACAATAAGTTTTACAACGAAAAAACAGGCATGAGCGACATGAGTTATATCATAACATAGGTTTTTTAAAAAAGAAAACGTGATTTGAGCAAGTGTTTCTTTTCAATATTATCTCTGGAGAACTAGCATCTGTCGGAGCTCAGGCCTACAGATCATCACAAGAAATGGAAAATGTGTGACCCTCTGATGGAAACTGCAGGAAGAAATGCTTTTTCATTGCAGAACATTTTGAGGAATAAAGTTAATTGAAGCGCTGGGTGCAAAAATGGCATTTCTTGGTTGCGGTGTCTCAAAAACTCCGCTAAAGTTCCATCGATTATGATAAAAACAAATGTATATAATTCATTGAAACTTTTACCGATTATTCTTCATGAATTTACAACGTTGAAAACGGAAAATTTTAGAAAATTTATCCAATAGTTTCCTCTCGAAATCATAAATTAGAATTGGAGATTCTGCAACACCGCAACCGAGAAATTCCTTTTCTGCACCCAACGCCACAATTAAAGACACACAAGAAAATTCCAAGGAATATTATTCTCAGACAAATGCCTCAAAACCATCAATGGGATTCAAGAAATCGGTAGATTAGTAGCATCATAGAAAAATACCTTGGACGCAGTTAGATTAACTAGGGCGATGCAGATTTAGAGATGGACGATATTAATGAGTACCGCGACATTGCTCTTAAAAGAAAATTCAATACAAACAAATATCCCCTCAAAGTATCACTAATGAACGTTAGAATGCTGTTTTTCTTTTCTTTTTTTCTCTTCTTTTACCATAGCTCAGACGCACAAACCATCACAAGGATTGAAAAATTCTTCTCCCTCTGGTGGAAACCGCGAAAGAAAATTCTTCATCATTGCAGAAAAGGTAAGAAATAAAATATCCAAAAAAAGTAGAATAATCTGAGGAATTTTATTCTCAGACAAATGCCTCAAAACCATCAATTTGATTCAAGAAATCGGTAGATTAGATGACATCATAGATAGATTCCTCAGATGTACTCATACCCGTAAGTATATATAGTTTATATGACAAAAAAGAACTAAACCTGGTGCATGGACTATACTCAATCGTACCAAGACATGAGTTCTTCATTAATGTGTGAAAGTATTTGTAAAAAAGCAAGGAAAATCCTTCGAAGTTTTACCAATAGACACTTCGCGTGCTTTTTTCTCCTATTTGTTTACCTCTTTTGTTTCGAAGCTCAGACGCACAGACCATCACAAGGAGGAGAAAGGTGTCCTCCCTCTGGTGGAAACCGCGAAAGAATATTCATCATCATTGCAAGAAAAAATGAGGAAATTATTTCAAAAAAAATTCTACCTACGTAAAAACTTCAAAATTTGGAAAAGCGAGTGGTAATAGCCAAAGCATGAGAGTATTTCTAAAGCAAGTGCTAAAACAAGTCGTCTCCCGCATGAGGAACTACTTCCCAAGGTCGCTAAATTGCCTCAAAAGATTAATTTATTTTACGAAAATGTACCTGCGCAATTTCAATCCAAAATTTCTCTGATGTTTGCATGAAATCTGAGGAAAAATCGAAGACATTTTTATTTAGGAATGCCCAAGATTATCTCACTTAATATGCGATTTACGAGGAGAAATTTGGCAATAGAGTAATGGAGTTGCGTTCTTTGGCGAGTGAAACAACGAGCTGTGTCTAATGTTTAGGTCTTAAAAACTTTTGGCCAAAAAAAGTGAAACCGAGA